TTGTAATGCAACAACAGCATGGTACTGAAAATACTCCCTCTGATGCAATTTTCATACTTAAACATTCATCCAGTGGAGCAGATTGGACACTTTAGTGGGCCAGTTTGGTCCTGTAATGCCGCTCTAAAGGAATGTTTGACTGGTTATAACACCACTGTTGACTAGATAACCATTTCCACAGCAGCAGAGAGCTGGATAACTGGCAGTGGTGGGCGGGGCTTTACCGGGACGATATTAGAGATGCAGTCAGGTGTGAGAGTTGTCTTTTTACTCTCTGTAAATCTGGACATCTTTCTTTCTTCCCTTTCCTTTCCTCCTTCCTTCCTTCCTTCCTTCCTTCCTTCCTTCCTTCCTTCCTTCCTTCCTTCCTTCCTTCCAGGCGCACTACAGATAGACAAATTTCTAATAATTAAAAAGGCAAAATGAAATTCCACCCTAATGTACCGTGGAGACAGCTGCAGTCCTGTCCTATCCAAATATTCCTCAGAAATCAGCTGCGCAGGTTCCATGTTTTATATGACAAATAATTTTAATGAAACTCTAATCAAAATTTCCTCCCCTCGAGTTCTTTAATTTTGGCGCAGCGGTGGAAAAGTGTTTGGTGTTCGAGTTAGTCAATCTAATAACGTAGCCTGCTGTGGAAATTATCCATCTCACCTCAATCCCCCAAAATGTTTTTGGAACCCCGCTCAGAAAAGTCATCATTTCGTATTTTGTTCTGGTTTTTACCTTCACCAGGTGCTGAAATTTTGTTAAGCTAGGATGCCAGTCATCCAAATTCATTAGCTTATAGCTAAGAGCTACCATGAAGGTTAGCATGTCTGTTTTCTTCAAGTATGTGGTGCACGACCCAGAGAGCCTTGAGTCCCAGCATTCGTGTGGATTTTAACCAGGTACGTGGATGCACTTGCAAACCGTGCAGCCCAGGGCCATGAACAGTGGCATATAGAGAAGAGAAGTTGAATATGTGTTCAAGTTTCACCTGGCCTTCAAGACAAATACAAGCAGTGTTTGGGTTGTTAAAACGTCAATTATACAGTTAAGTCATTTGAGCTTAGTCTGTAGTCTTCTAAGCCTAATGACCAGACAGTATACAGTAGGTCATCTGTTTCTATAAGTACAATTCCATTATAGAAAAGTGATAACATTTATAAAATGTGATTGGCATAGAAGGTGGTTTTGTTGACCCATCCATCCACCCCAACCTCCGCCTTAAGCAGTCATTGTTGTTATGAAGCACTGGCTGAAGTTACTGTTGCTGTTTTACACGACTGCTAGAAGTTGTTTAATATTTCCACAGCAGTAAATCCTTTAACACAACAACTAAATTGTGTTTCTCTGCTGCTCTAACATTTTGTTTCTGTTTTTTATTTCTCCTTGCTACTTGAAAGATCATAAAAATGTGAACACTGGTATCGAATCTTAATTTCTGTGGACTAGCATCAGTTGTATCTTGATTTTTGTTTGCTTTGTTCTCCTGGTGGAAAATCAGAGCTATTGCTTCTAACATATTAATCAGCGAAGCCAAATATCATCTGCCGGGAGTTTGAGTCCAAATCTATCAGCGTCGTCCTTCAGAAAGCCTCGTCAGCTGAGCGGTAATTATCCAGCGGTGAAGAGTTTGAACCACAGGAGGAAGAGATGAAGCATGATATCAGAGCAGTTATCCAGGCGGCAGAGGATCAGATCAGGCGTTTCAGCTCCCAGCAGGCCTTTCTGCCCCTCAGGAGCCTCACTGGTTTAGAGACATCAAAGAAGCTGTAAGCAGCCCAGTGCATGCTGGTCGATATCCAAACCAGCAATACTCGCTCTACCGCTGTTCGCGCCTTCCTCCTCTGTCCTTCTCACTCTTCTTCTCTTCAGTTCACCTCATTTCTTCTCATGGTTTACTTCTCTTCGCATCTCATGTTCTCATGCTTCTCATCTTTTCCTTTTCGCAATTCTCTCATTGATCTTTACCTCTGTTCTTTTTATCCTCTGATGCCCTCCTTCTTTGTTGCCCTTTTCCTTTTTCTCATTTACCTTTCAATCCCTTTCCTCTAACCTTTGCTTTGTTCTCTTCTTTTAATACTCTTGAATCTTGCTTTGCACTCCATGCAACCCCTTTCCTTTCCTTATACTATCTGCTTCTTCCTACTTCTTCCATTCTTCCTCTCCTCCTCTCCTCTCATCAATACTTTTGATTTCCATATCTCCTCAATAACGAGCGGTGGAGAGATGGACAGAATCATATTGATGTGTGTGTGTGTGCTTTTTTAAAGGGTCACGGTTGTAATTAACATACTGCTGCTCATTTGGTCAAGGTTTGCATCTCATACAGGCTCACATGCAGACACACCCTCTCTCACACTAACAAACACACTATACATATCTATAACAGTAAACCAACACACAGACAACACTGTGGAATAGAACGTGTTCGCAAACGCACATTTTATCATCACAGTAAGCAGACACACCTATCTCCATATGAGGACACACACGTATAGATTTGCTACAGCGATTTGTAGGCGAGGTGAAAGCGTGGGTGCACAGATGTGGCAGCTCAAGTAATTTCCATCAGATTTACCTTCTCCCCACAGCCTCCTTCACTCTGCCATTAGTTTTCCAGATAGCTCTCAGTGAAAGATATGAAAACAGCGCTCAATGTATAAAATATTAGAATTGTCTTCTTGATGATCCGCAGTCACAGTTAAACCTGTTTTTCCAGATGTAATGTTTAAGGTCTGAGTGGAAAGAATGAATTTTATGGAGTTGCTGTATGTCTTCGGTTTTATGTAAATCACTTTCAGCTCGCTCTCTCTTTGCTTGATGTAGCTCGCACGCTCTGTGTAGTTCGATTGGATCCAGGCTACATAAAATTCAGGTCGCAGCTCCAGTTTGACCTGTGCGGGGTTGTGTTCGTAGTGGATTTCTCTGTGGAAGCAACTATGCCTGTGGTGGACGGGCTAAAGCTACAGACTGCTGAAATATAGATACATCAGACATGAATGTCAAATCAGTTAATTACAAATGCGTTCACCCGCTACATGAGGCTATAAGAGCTGGCCGAGTGGTGGAGTTACAGGCAGGTGCAGCCTTCTCCCCCCCACGAGCTCACGAGACGAAATAAGGCAGTTAAGGGTGGTCCTTCATGTGAAATAAACTTGATCCAAAGAGTAGAAGAAAACTTAGTGATCAATCAAAAAGAAAACCTAGCGTAGCCCCATGGCTAAGTGCAACACTGATTCCTCGAGGGACCGGCTATGCTAAAACTACACACCTGGAGCTGTTATTGGAGAAGTAAACCATACATGTCCATGCTTATTTAAACCACATGCATAACATGCTGGCTTGATTCTTTAAAATCGTCGAGGTGAATGTGCAGCCTGCTCTTTCTTGGTTACTCTTGGAGTATTTTCCCATTCTTTTTGTCGGTCTCCCTTCCAAGCGTCGCAAGTCCAGGACAGCGAGTGTGAGTTTTAGCTGGGCAGAACTGTGCGGACGCAAAATTTGTATCAAACACCCTTAATGCTTCCCTTTTGTTTTTGTCTCTAAAATAGGTTTAAACACTTTCCTTTCTTCTGTCTGATCCTTGCTTTGCAATCCAAAGTGTTTACTCCCCCTTTCACCTCCCTTTGAAAACTCTTTGTTCTTCTTTTAAGCAGTCTCTTCTGTTCCTCTTCAGGAGTGAAGTGGATTTAAAGACAGAAATCAATACTGGATCAGGTGCTATTTCACATGGATTCTGTGGATTTTCCTGCTGATACATTTCACATCATATGGAAGAAAAAGAGGATGTTTATGCAATTTAAAAAAACAACAGAATTTTTGTGTGCTTCATTTTTAGTTAGATTAGTACAATCTTGTTGTGGATCATCAAGGCTTCCGCGCATCATAAATCTCACTGTTGGCCAGTAGATGGCAGTAGCTCTCCACTGACTAACAAGCTGCTGCCTTCTTTTTTCCCCCCTATCTTCTGTCAGTGTGTACATCTATCTGTGTACTCCCATGAAGGGCAACGTGCCAGTGATGGAGACATACGTGTTCAGCTCACTAGAGTCATTCATACCACTTCATCTCTTTTGATCTCTTTTCCTTCTGCTCGTTCTGGCTCTGTTCCCCTTTTCTTTCCCCAACTCTCAGGTTTTTGCTTTTGCAGTCTTGTTTCTCCTTGTCTCTTCATCAGTCTCTTCGTCACCTCTTACTTTTCACCTGTCTGCCATGCACTAGTGTCATTTTTCTTCTCCTCTCTCTTTTAAATTTTCTTTCCTCTCACCTCTTCCTCTTTTCCATCTGTGTTTTGATTTCTTTTCTGCCTTTATATGTGTATTTTTAAAATCTTTTCTTGTCTTCCTCACCTGCTTTTTTTCGGTCTTCCTGTTTCGTCTGTCTTCTCTTTCCATGCCTTCACTCTCCTCGGTGCATTTTTGCACATCTTTAAGTCCTTTGTTTGTATTTTCCTCCATATATCTTCCTCTCTCTTTCCATTCTCCTTTCCTCTGTATTTGTCCAAACGTGTGTTTACTTGTTTCATCCTGTGGGTCTCGTTTTTGTTCTCTCTCTGTCCTTGAATTAATTCATCTGGAATCAGTTCTTAAACACCAGCCGGGCGCTCCCTCGCTCCCCCCCTTTTGTTTTTTTTTATCCTTCTCTTGTACTCTAATCCTGTTCTCTTCCAATCTGTTGCTTTTTTTCCCTTTTCTGCCTTTCCTCTCCCTGTTGCATGCCATTACCTGTTGGACTTCTCCCTTTCTTGGTGTGTTTTGATGTGCTTCTCTACCATTTTCTGTTCAAACTGTTTGCTGCTTTGTTTTGCTCCTCTCTTCCTTCCTCTTTTTACACATTATCGTTCTGTCATCTCCCAATCCTCTGAAGTGTTTAGTGTGTGTTGTGTTGTTCTGATGCCTTTCCAGCAGGCCCTGGACATCAGCATTTATACATATTATTAGTTTTTGTTGTTGTTGTTTTTGTTTTTTTAAATCATAAACTGAATTCTCTCTCTCCTCCCTTGTCCCCAGTATTTCGTGCAGCAGTTGGACGGGTTCATCTCGTGGCTTCAGGAGGCGCTGGACAGCACAGAGAACTGGATTCAGCCCAGACAGGACCCGGATAGCCTGAGGGTGTACCTCGACACACACCTGGTGAGAGCACCAACACTCACACACTTGCCTTTGTTTCTTTCTTTTTTTAAACGTATGTGAACCCTCATTGATACAAAGCAACCTCAGCCTCATCCCTTAAAATGAGTCTAAGCCCTCAAATAGAAGTGATAACACCAAAGGGTCTTCATCGGCATTGCGTCATTGTGTTCCTCGCAAAAATTCAAGCGCACGCACCCGTCGTCAAGGCTCGCACACATTTGAAGAATAAACGTACACGACTGCTACGTGCAAGCACATCTGTGCACACATTCCACACACGCGGTTGCATAAACACATATTTGCATACATGCATATGGATGTGCCCACATGACACGCACGCACACAGACACACACACCTGTCTTATTTTCAGAATCGGTTACTTCTAGCTGCAGCTATTGGAACCCGCTTCTTCACAATCAAGCAACCAAAGCTGGTAAAGCGATGATAGGACTGTTCTCTACTTTGTCATGTGTTATTTCAGTAGCCCTACTTACGCTGTCAAAACATATCAGTGACATCAGTGACAGAGATGGGAGTCAGCACAGCAAACAGAGCACACAAATGCTGCTGAGAAAAGAAAAGACAAGACAATGAGCACTGTCCAAGCTGTGTCATCAACACTCAACCATCACCCTTTAAAATAAAACAACTTTGTCTTAAATGGAAAGTTTCTAAAAAAAAATAGTGCATTAAAAACTTTAGTGTTTCTTATTTGTGTCATTTATGAACTGTTACAATATGGGATTCTCATAAAACATGGTAAACATTAAAGTGATGAGGTCAGTCAATATAAACCTTCCCAAGTTTCTGTTCAGACCTTTTGTTTGTGAGGGAGAAGAAAGCTAACTTTAAACGCCTCTTCCTTAAACTTGTTTTTGGATACTGGATGAATTAAAGTGCTGCACCAATGCCCAGTAGATCATAAATAAAGTTTATTGTAAAATATTGAACCCCCACACAAAGCTGCTCTAGTAGAGTCCAAAAAATACCGCAGGTGGGCGGGGCTTCTGCAGAAAAATATGATTTTTTTTTAAATTATGTCATGCTAAGAGAAAAAAATGGAAAAATGAATAACAGATGGGAGATACGGGATAAACAGACAAATTAAAATCCATCCGCTCATTCATCGTTATAGGAAAAGCATAGGTAGAGAATTAAACTTGTTACAACTAAGGCAGTGAGACCTCTAAGAAAGGCTGATTTATTTCCTTCAAAACAACTATTCTTGAGCCGATGTTGACCAGTGCTCAGTTCAACAGATATACTTACTGGCTAAGGGGGTAGAGGTCAAAGCTTAGGATTTTCTGCCACCTGTAAACACACACAAATGGTTTTAGAAAGGGATAATTGGAAAATAACAAACCCTGGAATGAATGCAAGCTCTCATTTCACTGTCACAGCTTTTATTCTGGCTTCTTTTTTTGTGTTCCAGTTTGTTTTCATCTACATCTCTTTTTTCTTCCTCCTTCTGGCAAAACCTTTCCTTTATTCCTCTTCCCACTTTATTGTTTTATTTTCTGATCATCTGCCCCTCCTTTTTCTCTCCTATTTTGTCTTTTTTGTCCTTTGTCTCTCTTCTTTTTAAAAAAAAAACTCTCTCTTTATCGCTTGTCTTCTTTTGTTTACTCTAACAAATAGGAAACAAAAAGGCTCAAATAACTCTGCCTGTGTTTTGGTAATTTACTCTCACACATGCTCTGAGATAGATCAGTAAGTGCTGTATAACGTGTATATGAGCACACTCGCACATACACAGACACACACAGATGAGGAGCACTTTGGCAATTACTCACGGTCTTTATGGCAAACAAATGGGTTGCACGCACACACACAAACACAGAGGAGCACTCGTTCAAGACTACAAGACATGAACATGCATATCACATCAATGTAAAAATCCCGGTGTTGCCCAGTGCTGAGCATGTGCGCGCGCACACACACACGCACACACACGCACACACCACCTTCACCGGCAGATTGTGTTTGCATTAAAGTATATAAACACAGATACATATACACAAAGACAGGCATGTGTTTTAGCACACGCACACACGTAGAGGTGCTATTTGCATAAATTTGCATGTTCCTAGACAGATTTCCAAATCAGCATCTCCATATCCGTCCCTGCAGAACAGCATCCTGCACGCAGATCAACACACACACACACATAAACACACACAGTATTTTCTTATCTAGATGCACTTATTTGTGCTGTATCTGTGGGTGTGTGCGCATGCTTATTTGTTGGTTTGTTTACACGTGTCGACTTTGTTGTGGTTGCCAGCAGCGCTAACGTTAGTGGCGGTTAGCTTCAATTAGAATTCCCGGCTCTTAATTGGCGCGTCTTGTTAAATAAAGCAAAAGAGGATGAAAAGGCATCGCTAATAGGACTTTGAAATGCTACACTGTTGATAGCATGTTAGCTAACTGACTCTGTGTTTGTGTGTGCGTGCTGGGGTTGATAGTCACACTTGCACTTTGTAGTTATTCGTGTGTGTTTGGGTGTATAATTGTGTGTGTTTGTGTCTTTCGTTGATTACTGCCGAGTAGAGCCAGGTTCTGTCTCGCTTCCCTTTGTCTTTATATCTCTCCAGTCTTTCTCTGACAAAATGTGTTTACATTTACAAGACCTTTAAGACATTTTAGAGGAAATGGAGCTGCTGAGTAGATTAGGATTGATGGCGGCGTTCTACACGCCTTTAAAGTCACAGGCAGAGAGTCTGTAAGAAGACTTAGGTGCTTGAATCCCTTGGCCATAGTTTTTTTTTCTTTTAAATATCTAAAAACTCCATGAAGTCATGAATTAAAATTCCAAAGGAGCAATAAGGAAGGCCCATTCAACAGCACTTCCTCACGAAACTCTACAACAGAGATGTCAAACTCATTTTACATTGTGGGCCACGTACTCCCCACTTTAATCTCAAGTGGGCCAAACCAGTAAAACTGCCCTTTTTCTCAGTCTAAAAATGTATAACTACACATTTGTTTGATGTAAGAAAAGAAGTGTTATTTCAGTAATACGACAGTTAAAAGTCCAAAATCGATGCCCTCTTTTTCCAAAGCTGTCCAGTGGACCAGATCGAAGTCTTCCTCAGCTCATTCTGGCTCCTGGGCCTTATGTTTAACACCCGTGCTCTAGAAGGACCACGACAAAGTGTGTGAACTAGCAGCAGAGGTGGCATCTTTACATCTAATTACCCTTAAAATGTAACGTCAACAGGGCTACTTAAAGATATTCCATGAATATCCTGGAATGTCTTAAACATCCTTCAGGTGCATCCTACTTAGATTTCTATGACATAATGTGTGACCTGCCTAGCTACTTAACATAGTCACATCCCAAGAAAATTTGAAATTCAAATGCAAACTCAAGAGAGCTATAATGACCTTTACAGTATAACTATAAAATAATATTTTGGTGAGTGTGTTTTAATCAGTAGCTTGGAAAGCTGAAACTAGGAATAGTTGTCTTTTAAAACAAATTTAAAACATGGATAATTTGATGAGCAGTTCATGTTTTTTGTCTTTTTCTAAAGGCTCAGTAATTTCTCAAATCAGCCAGCTGACTGCTGGGGACTACTTTCAGTGGCAGATTATTTCACGTTTGACGTTCTAGCGAATATCTGGCCCTGGGGCAGCATGGTGGTACTAAATAAACTGCAGTCTGTGTATCTGTGGCAATAAAGGAACTGCTCACCCAGTCCAACAGTGGAGCTCACTTCATTTGTGTTTTTAAAAAATCATTTTTGCACAAAACAGTTCAATTGCAAAGATGAATAATAAGACATATCAGGCTTTGTGTGCAGTATCTATTTGCAGGACTAACACATTGCTTGTTTTTCTTTTTCATGCTATTTTATGACAATCAACAACATCGAATATCTACTTTCATTATGCTTTACTTGACCAAAGTAAGTCATGTGAATATAGCTTTCAGGCGACAGGATTGGTCTTTTTTCTCTTTCTGTTTTTCCATTTCTCTGTCTCACACACATACTCACACACACTCTCTCTCTTTCTCTATATTGCTTTCTGTGCCACACATAAACACACACACAAACACACACAGCTCCAGGGCAGCAGTGGGTGGAGTGGAGTTGCTTTCCCAATTGAATATTTGGTCCAGCTGGCGTGTCTGTGTGTGTGTGTTTGTGTGTGTGTGTGACTATATGTGTGTTTTAGGGCGCGTGGAGCGAATAAGCACAGGTCTTTCCGGAACCCCGGGGAGATCAGTGAGGCAAGAGGACACTAACGCACACTCATGCACATGCACACACACAGACACACAGACACAAACACACATACGCACACACAGGCTGCTCTTTGTAAGGCGCTAAGAGATGGCGGCCAATGAAAGGCCTATTGATTGGGTCTGATGGGCGATCCAGGCCTTTGAATCCCATTACCAGAAGTAACACACTACTGGTGGCAACATAAGGGGAGGAGA